ATAAATTAATTTAATTAAAAATTAAAATAAGTATTAATTTAAATTAAAAATAAATAATACAAATACCAAATCATTATTTAAGCTTAAATTTCCCAACCCTTCTTCTAGATTACTATTTGAACCCTAACGAACTGCAGTCAAGAAATCAACGCAAAAGCACTGCCAGACGTCCGTTGCACATGCTTCCGTTCTTCAATCTCCCCGTGCTTTAATCAGAAAACGAGCGAAACACGAGACAGGAAATCAAGTGACAATCACCTTTGAAGTTCACTCGATTCAACTAATTGTCTGTATTCCATTTTAGCGAGAATGGAGCAAGAAGGAGAGCAACTCATAACAAAATCAGAACCAGAATCTATGGTATCGGTTACAGTTGGTAGAATCATGGCGAATCTTCTTTCTGCACGCCCTAGAAAGTTGGAAGACTCCATTGCTCGTCTCTCCGCGGATTCCCAAAAGGCTTCTATTGGTACCGCACTCTTTATTCACTCGCGCAACGGCTGTTATTTGTCTGTATTTAGTGATTTCCGTTGTTATTTTGTTATTTTTCAGGTTCTTTGGATGAGTCAGTGTGGTTTCTACACAAGTACGTGAGGGAGGCAGCTGAGAGGAAAGAGACATTGGATGAGATTCTCGTTCCCATAATTAAACATGTATTTGAAGCTAAAACCCTGGATTTTTCTCATACTTTCATGAATGTTAATTACATTTCAATATCTTGAGAAGAGGACTAGAAAGCATTTGACATTCGATAATTTAGTCAATTTAGTTAATTATTTCGTGAAGTGTGAAGGTTAGAGTTCTAGATTTCAATCAGCTAATTCTATTAAAATTAATTTTAGCACAAGGCAAGCTTGTCCTTGGTCCACGGGACAATACATTTCAGTGGGTGTATTACCTCGTTGAGGGCGGGGGGGTTTGGATAATTGCTTTTGTTATTTTCTATCAGCTTAGATTTTGATAATTTGTTTCTCAACTCTTATTTTTATTGCAGAAAATGAATATCTTCCTGAAATCTTTGTGGCTTTTGATTCATGATTTTCCTTTTATTTGTAAATGGTTCAGCGCCTCTTGCATCCTTAGGTTGTTGTTTTGAAAATTTTCCTGATACATAGCTAATCTCTGTTCTTCCTTCTATTCCAACCCCTCATGTTATTGATTTTACCCCTCTAGTTGTTCATACTTCATACGGTGGAAAAAAGCTTTTTTTCTCTCTTTGTTAATTTGTTATTCTTTTTGCTTCTTTTTCACAGACATTGACGTCCAAGGGATTGAAGCATGGTGGCCAAACTTTTACACTCTTCAATTGGCTCTTTCAAGATGAACTCCTTTTTGAGGCTGTTGCAGTGAATCTTGCAGATATAATTTCCAGAAAAGATGATCGTTATATAGCCCTTGGATGGTGCACACTTGTTCGCGACCTTGTAGAGTATGAGAGTCATACGGATCAATATTTAATAAATGGTAAAGACTTAGGTTTCGAGTTCCTTTTTGTACCTGTACTATCATTGCCTGCTAGGTTCTATCTATTTATCTTTCTGAATGTCTACGTTGAGACACGCTGCGCTAATTTTTTGAAGTTCTGTGTAAATCTTGTCTGTATGTCATGGAATAATAGTCTTGATTTCTAATAATGAATTTAAGTCTTTAGTTGAGGGTTTCTTTTCTTACTTTGAGGTGTGGTCTGCTATCTGGGAAAATATTTGGCAATAAACCTATGAGCTCAAAGATGAATGTAGTTATTAATTTTTTTTTTGCATTTTGCAGGAATAAGGGAGAAGTATAGTTCCCTGTTAAAGATCCTTTGCTCTTGTATTTCACATCTGTCATTGATTATACGTAATGGAAGGTACAAACTTCGTCGTGCAGTTAATTGTATCTATCTTCTTTTGTTCAATGACTTATTCCTCTGCTTAATCTTCATATCTGGTGGTTTGATTTGCAGATATGATATGCTTTGATTTATTTTCTGAAACTATTTTTTTTTCTGTAAATCTGGCATCGCTTATCTAGCAGGTATTCTGGTCATTCTTTTCCACTTAAAATTTTGGCCTGTTTTCGTTTTAAGAAAGGCTCGTTTGTGTTTCTGAAATATGCTGCTTCTTCAGATGACGTGTCTTAGTGTGTCCAAGTAGAGTTATGAAACTAAGTTGGGTTGTTTGAAGACTCTTGTTTCACATGACAAGTATGGGCAAACAGGAGTTATTAGTTCTTGTTTTGACAGGTTATAGGAAATCTAAAGTGAGCATTCTATGTAGACATTAAAAGGAATGAGGGATACCTCAAATTGTGCAAGTGGCATTTTTGTAGTGGGGTATCCAGTAGGATCACGAAGAAAAACCGGATTCTAGGCTTTTATGATTCCCTCTTGGCTTGTGACAAAGCTTTTCTCTTCCTTTCTGTTAATGAAATCTGAGAATATAAACAGCATGTAGTTAGTAGCCATATATGTTCCTACAAATAATAACTTCTGTCCTCCTTAAGTGTGCAGAATTATTTTTTAAGATTCCTATAGATGTCAAGATGCTTGAAACTTGATGTAACTACCAAGAGATGATGATGTTTGAATTTGCATAATCAATGGATATAGTTGCTGTCTAAGAATAACGGCTCATTCTCTCTCTAAACCTTTCTCTCTCTAAAAATCCTCTCAAACCTCTTTCGATCCATGGCCCCTGGCCGGCGATTCAGGTCCACCAAATCGGGGTTATTTCATGAGTTCTTTTGGGAGAAGATACCTAGCCATCGAAAATAAAACCTTTGACTTGTTATGCGAAGGAAGAAGAGCGGAAAATCTGAGAATATGTGAGAATGGTCACGGATTCAGAAAATCAATTTTCTCTCAAAGGATGAGTTCGAATGGTTCTCGGAGGCACTCAAAGAGTTCTGGTGGAGGAGGAAACCGGGGGTATGGGCAAAGCATTTGGTGAAGAGAAACTATGAGCTGTGGTTTTCTTTTGGGAGAAATAGAAAAGGAGAGTTTCTGGCTTTAACGGTCCATAGTGGACGACAGGTCAAGAGGACCTTTTTCCCAGCTGGTGACCAGAGGAAAGGATGGTGGAAACTATTGGTTGCTGTTTTTGAACTGGCAGACCGGTCAGTCCGTTCCTCAAAGAAAAGCATAAAAAATGAACAGGCCATTCTTCTGTCCAAAGCTTCGACAGAGAAAAATCAGGAGAAACCAGTGAAAGCTTCCTTTAGATATCCCCATTGCGAGGTGCTGATTCACTTCACAATGAAGGTGGGAGATGTGAGGTCGTGCGCGGCGGCTCTGCAGGGAAACAAAAAGAGATGGAAGTGGGCAGGGCAGGGAAGATCCATTGCTAATTCGGATCGGGCAGGCCCCAAGGAGAAAAACCGGAAAGAAATGGACCATTGGGCCAATGTGGATCGGCCAAAGGAAGGAAAACAAATGGGGTCAAAAGGTCACGTGACCCTTAATGGGACGGGCCAAGGAAAAAAAAATGGAAGTGGGCTGGAAAACTCAAAGAAGAAGAAATTTACATGGAATGAAAAAGAAAAATTGGCTGCTGTCCCAGAACCAGAAGAAAACTTAGAGAAAAGTCAGGATCTGGCCCTAGAACGCCTCTTGGGTCCCTGCATTTTGACCTGAGGAGAGTCTTCCGGGTTAAAGACAATCGAAGCTGGTCATCCTGAGGTTTTCATTA